TTTGTTTGTTTGTTTGTTTGTTTTTTTTTTTGGAGACAATCATCAATGTTTTTGTAATAAAATAGCTTCTAATTATGGATGTATCTTCAAAAATAAGTAGCATATTTTGGAAATTTTTCTTACTCCTTGGATGTCCTATCCAAAGAATCGGACATTCAATGAGGCTACGGCCATTGATTCTAGTATAATTTAAGAAGTAGAGAAAGAAAGAAAGTCCGATTAATATACTTCTTTGAGATATGATGTCTTTATGGTTGGAATAGTTTAGCATTGTATTTGAATTGGCTTTGGTTTTTTTTTTCATTAAATTTGAAGGAGGATAGATCTTCATTATATATGCTTTTATTTAATAGTAATTGTAGTGTAAAATTTGCATATATTGCGAGTTATTGTAGAGTCTTCTTACATGGTGAAGAGACAAATTCTTTGATGGTAGTGATGAATAGGATTTAGATATGGTAATTGGATTTTTAGAGTTTGATGTTGTTTAGTGGGAGGGAGATGAAGGCCATGCATATGTAATAGGTGATCTTGTTGTTGGTTTCCTCCCATTGATAGCACCATGTCTTATCATCCCATTGTTTTATTGGATTTTTATTGTTGTTGGTATTTACTATTACTTTCAATAGAGCAAGTGCCATCTCTTAGAAAAGGAGTATCTTGGCTTAGAGGTCTAACCATTCTATTTGGTCTTTAAAGACTAAAATTTGGCAAAATCCACTTGATTGATAACTTGTCAAGCTAAGTTTGGTGAGTTCACAATGGTAGCTGATTTTTGAAGAGTCTTTTATTTTTGTATAAAGTATTGGAAATACCATGCATCTCTATGTTAATATAGGAATTGAAAAAAATGGCTTGGATGAATACCTTAAGAAGCAATGTAGTTTGATATCTACAATTATTGGAGTCACTATCTTAAAAACTTATTCTTTATATGGATAGAATTGTATGTTGGAGATAATTTCTTAAGGATTGCTTTTGCCATACAAATTAAAATTCTTCTTCTTATGTGGATTGGTCAATAATCTCTATGTTCATGTATAATATGATGTCTTATGTTGTTTCCATATGTCGAAATTAGATCTCTTGTTGCAATAGATTGAGGAGCTTCATATTGGTGTCTTTGTAATGACTTAATTTTATAGAAGTTGGAGTATTTTCTTGTCCTTGTGATATTATTAGGAGATGTATTGTTGATGCAGGTTGTTTGGCCCTAAATATCATAGGTTGTAATGATGGTTGTAAGAGCTCAGATTGTAGAGAAGATAGCACTTGAGTTATAATCAACTTTAGCTTCAATAGAATCAATATATATTAAATGTGTAAAGGTTCTCTATTTTCTTATATTTGTTATATGATCTATTGTCTTTGTTGGCAAGGGGAGTTGTATTGAGAGATTATTTTGAAGTAATTGGAGTTGTATTTTGAGATTTTTCAAATGTTTTTGATTTGAATCTATTTTTTTGGGCTTTGGTGGCTTTGTCTTCATTGTTGTAGGTGGTGATTGTTTTTTGATGTATCAACATTATATTTGGCTTGTATTAATTGTCTTGCGTGTTGATTGTAAGGTGTTAGAGCCTCATATGTCCTTGTATTGCATCAATAAATAAGTAATAGTTTATCTTTTAGGGGTACGTATCTAAATCCACGATATTTGGTGCATTGATTTATATGTCTAGTTACAATAATCTTATGAACAAGAGATAAGTCTAGTATTGGTCCTAAGAGATTAATTTTATTTAGTAGTTTGGTAATGTCTTAAATCCTAAGTTTTATTCTAAATATAGCTATTTTAGTAACATATGATATAACTTCTTTATTAAATAGGACTTCATTAAGTGGTGAGGCAATTATTCAGAGGCAACTTTCGTATTAGAGATATTGGCTCAAACTCAAGAATTGGATTTAGATCGAGCATGAGAGAAATCTATATGAATCTTTATTTTCAACCAAAAAAAAGGTTCTCAGAGATAAATAATATTTCTTTACCATTGAATTTGAGAGACAAGTGGAGGGCATTGTTGTCATAGAAAGTAGAATAATATGTAAAAATAAGGTAAAATATTATGAAAATTTGGATTATGATTAAAAAATAAAAATAAAAAGATAAAATAAAATACTTATCTAATATATTTAAATTTATAGTTTAAATTTAGTAATTAAAGATAAGAATTGTAGAATTTATTAGTAAGAAGTTAAAAGGGGCTTTGGAATCAAAGATATAGTATTTTGACTCCTAGATCATCCCATGTAAGTTGATAAGATATGTGACAAAGGACTTCATTCCTATTGGTTGGAAGACATGTACAATGGACTTTGAGATGTTAACTGAGACCATATTAGAATTTAAGACCACTTTAGTGCGATCCATTCTAGGCAAGGCAGACCATTCAAAGAAAGACAATTCATTCAAAATGTGGAGGCTAGATTTGAAAAGCTTGTATTTAGGACTAGAGTTTGGATAAAAAAAAAATATATAATTTGGAGTGGTAATGAGAGAGTTATGGTTGTTTGAAGTTAGGATGTGTTGTTGGTACCTATTGTTATTCTTTTAAGAATCTAGAGAGTTATAGGAAAGCTTTGAGGAATTGAAAAAAGAGATTAGAAAACTAACTTAAAGAGCTATATTTTATATAAAAACATTGATATATTCCAATCCAAAAAAAAATGAAAGAGAGTTTTTGGAAGTTAGTATTAAAAATTGGAGTTTGTAAGTGAGTTGTTTTTAATAGAGGTTTTGATTTTTTCCATATCTTGAGTTTTTAGACGAATTTTTAGCTAAAAATTTCTACAAATATAGATGATAATGTTAAAAAGTTTTATATGAAAAATTCATAGTATTTGAACTTTGGGCTTTTGACATATGAAGGAATTAGTGTATAGGTGCTTAGAAATTGATATGTTTAGTACTTACTAGACATTAGGCGATATCCAAAGACTTGTAATGAATTATAGTTGATTTTTTGTGTAGAGGTAGTCATAGATACAAGTTAACTTGTGAAAAATTTTAAATCCAATTGGATGGTTAGATTACAAGTTATTGAGTGATATATATACAGAAGGGATTTTCATTGGAGTAGAAGTGATTTTAGGATATCTAGTCACATCTTAGATACTCTTGTGCATTCTAAACTTATGTATTTGATGTAATTATCTTCTTGAAGATAAGTTATAAATTATATTTTTGTTTTATAATCTTGCAACTTTTTTGAGTATTTAATGGTAGCCAGAGGCCCAACGCTTTCTTGAGGCAACTCTGTCTACTATGATAGCTTATTATACTTCTTCTAGTGTTGAAAATGCGATCTGAAAGAAGCTACTGCCTACTAGTGAATATGTCTCCATCGATTGGTATAAGTAGGTGACTATCCATTCATTTAGGGCTAGTTGGCATGGATTCTTGCTCACAATATATCCAATCATTGTAAATTACATGGCTTTATTTTGGATGTTTTCAATAATGGTGAGCTTCTTGTTGAAATATATCATATATAAAGTATCAAATTTATCTTTCAACTATACTACATTATCTTTTGCCAAAGAACTTTTGGTTTTTAAGTGCACAAGCATTTGGCCAATGGCACTAGCTTCTAGACCATACCTATTGGAAAAGAAAACTCATGTTTGTTTTGAATCTCTGAGAGTGTGGAGATTAGACTAGTGACTCGGGTGCTATTCCCACAAAGGGAGAGCATTACTTAGTTTTGGATTTATTTGAGATTCTAGATCTCAATTTTAGAGGCTTGAGCTTATTATTGTTTCTTGAAGTGTTGATCTTATGTACTAGCCAAAAAAATAGTCCAAAAAACTAAGCTTCTTCAAGTGACAACAAAATCTAATAGTAGGTAAAAGAAATTTAAGTTATATAATGTGACATACTAAACCCGACTTAATTAAAAACATATTATTACCATCACTCATACTCTCATTGCTTATGCTCTAAAGCTTTGCTCTACCTTATTCTTATTCTTCTATTCTATCAATTGCTAATTGTGGTAGCGCAATAGACGTATCTTATAGGTGTGTTATTATTGTTCAAATTGTATTTTGATTCAAAAAAATGGTAAATTAAGTAGATAGTTGAGTTGGAAGTTCTTAAGGGACAAACTAAACAAACATTCAAACACATGGAATGCTCCTTCTAAAAATATGAAATGTATCATAGATAGCAAAACAAATACCAGGTTGTAGAATATATAAGGTGATTAAATAGAATCTTTATATTATCTTAACTGGTCTAATAATACATAAAAGTGTAGTGCTTTAAGAATTATTTTTACTTACTTTAGTTTGTACACTTAATTTTGCCTAATTGGGTATTAGGTGTTAAGGTGTCTTATATAACACTTTATTATGTCAATGCACTTGGTACACCTTTTTTTTGTGTCAAAAAAAGAATAAAAAAGAAGAGGATGATAGACATAGAGCTTTACAAAATGGAATCACCTTATCTTCACGTTCATAATTGTATCAAGATAAGAAAAGTAACTTTGGTATTATCTGGTTCTCCTCCAATTATATCAAAATTATTTAAATCTTGAAAATTTCAATAATTGAATAACTAAAATTTACTTGTGAAAATTTAAACTTAATAAAAAAATCATTATGTAATCCACATGAATAATCTGGATTTTTTTATTTCCAAGGATAAGCGATTTTAATTTAATTTTTAATTTTTAATTTTTAAATTCAAGTCAGAAATATTGAAATAATTTACACGATGTATGTAATAAATTTTGAGCTGAATCGTTCGATACAGAACTCTGGTGGTTCACGTAATGATGTTCTCCAGCGCGGGAACGTATTCCTCTTTCGTTTCAAGGGAAATTAGTCATGGGCTGACGTGTTCAATATTTAATTCGGCTCTCAAAATGGCCAGCTGCCCAAATGAACTACGCTGATGAATGAATAGATGGATGGATGATAGTTCGTTAAGTCTGTCTTTGCGATCGGAACCGAAAGCCCTAATCCCAAGCCCTAGAACCTCGTCGTTCAGTTGGGGTGAGCGTCAATGGATCCATCGAACGTCTCCGCCTCGGGAGGCGTTTGAATTCCTTGATCGCGCCACTAACAGACTAGCGGGATTTCTTTTGTAATTCCTCCTTTGCTAGGGTTTAGATAGTCGGACATAGTCATGCTGAGTCCCGCGCTTTGTCCGTCAATTGTTATCGCACTGCTCGCCATTCCGTCTCGCTGGATTGCAGATCGTGGAGAGTGGAGATTATGGGGATGTTTTTATGGTTGGCGGTCGAGTTAAGGTTTTACGAGGGTAGAAATGTAGCGTGGTGGAATCGATGTCTATATTTGCTGGTGCCGGGCACAGAAGGTATTTTTTCGGGTGTTTGAGGTGCTGCCGTCAATGGTAACGGTACGGTAATGGAAGGAGGTATGCCGTCGATGGCGAAAAATGTAGGGGTAGGTGGTATTCATGTGGAGCAGGTTGGAGGATATGAAGCATTGGACAATGTGGATGGCAGGAACGATAGGAACGAGTTAAATGAACGTCAGTTGGCGGAGAAGCTTGGGAAGAGCGAGGCTGGAAGGAAGAAGCTGCGGCAGGCGATTGTATTGCTCAAGGAAAAATTGGAAGCTACCTCCGCGACTTTGGGAGTCAATGACGTTCTCCGCCAGGAGGTGGAGAGAGAGCGGTTGAATGTAGACGCGGAACGGAAGAGGGCAGGAGCGGAGAAATTGTTGCGAGAGAAAGTTGAGAAGGAGAATTTGACAATCAAAGAGCAGTTTTTGGACGTTTTACACAGGTTGGATTTTCTGGAGAGTAGTTATAAGGTAGACCGGAATGAATTTAGTCGGATCCATTCTGAGGTAAAGGAGGTAGTAGGTGGCATTGGTGCTGCTTTACAAGCTGTTGAAGCAACTAAGAGTCTATATCAGTCATTGGAGCGGAGTATTCACGCCAAGATTAATGGAGTCGTTCAATCCTCATCGAGAGCTTTGGCAATTGCTCAGAGTGGGCGAGCGACCGCGTCTAGAGCACAAGCTACGGCTGAGGCAGCTCAATCTTTGTCCAAAGCTGTGCAGATGGAGGTGCGGTTGGTATCGTCTCAAGTTTCCACGTTACAAAAGCAGACCTCAAATCTTGTGGCAGTAGAGGCTTCATTGCAACAAGAATCGCAACTTAAAGGTCCAGGGACTCCTCTGAATAGTCCGGACTCTGGGGAAACCAATATTTGTCTATCTGTTCTGAAACAGAAGGTTTCAGCTGACGTTTTTTCTCCGAGTAGCTCAGGTTTTCCTGCTCAAGTGACTGTAGCTTCAAAGAATCAAACTCAGGAACGGAAAAGCTCACAGGAAAAAGTTGATCCTACCAAAGTAGATATACTTAACATGCTGGTTGCTTCTAAAGAGAAGTCTCGGAATAATCAGTTGTCTTCTAACGCTACATTACCTCGAGGGGGAATGATTCTGAGTAGGAGCCAGCTTCCTGATGGAGGGTCGAAGTCGCAGACTGTAATCCCACAGGTTCTTTCAGGGGTTAGCAATCCCAGAAAAGGTCAATCAGAATCGGTGAACAGGGAGGAATTCACTCCAATCGTTCCCTTCAAGAAATGCTCAGTGTCAATAATTACAGGAGTTGATTCTGTTTTGAGTCCTGCCGTACGTGTTCCCGCTCCGTTGGACTCTGCTACAAAATCCGCTCAATCGTTATACATTACTCCGTTAAATGCAAGCGCTAATCCCGTGGAGAAAGTAAACGAATTACAGTCTCAATTGGTTTCAAGCGTTTCTAAAGGATGTTCTAACAAGCGTCCTGCTGTGAAGAGAGGCGGAAGGGATCTCAATGATACAAGACCTGTTAAGGCGATGAATCTGAGCGAGGGTAACCTTTTGAGAGGTGCGCTACGGAGTAAAAGTGCCGCTGATGTGATTAGAAAGAAAACTACCACTGCATCCAATCCTGCTGTATGCAATGAAATTAAGGGTGATGGTATATCCTCTGAAGGCGTGTCCCAGTCAAACGATAAGCCTTATCCCAACACAGCAACTAAACTGCTGAAGTCTATAATGAAGACATTAGAGAAGGAGAGTAAGAGTCGTAGAATCGTCGAGGACAAGCTTATGGCTTTGCGGGAGACATTGGAGAGTGGTGGTAGGTCTGAACCGATGGCGCAAATAGGTTCGAAGCGGAAACGAGAATCGAAGAAAGATAACCGTGATGGAACTTCAGAAGATAAGGAGAAGAAACGGAATCGTCAGAGGGAAGAATCTAGGAAAAAAATAATCAATTCAAGCCGTAATGACATTGTGACATCACCGGTTGAGCGACGCTGTACCATTGAGGACAAGTGTATTCTGCAGGAAGAGACACAGCAACGTGATAACCTGATAACCGGAGATCGTCAACCTATTGAGGACAGGCTTTCGGAGATGATGTCCACTCTCCTAGACAGATGCAGAAGGGAAGGATTTTTCAAGACTCCTGGAGATTGCCAGGGAAGGCGAGATGTACCTGGTGCCGAGGAATGCAAGGATGTTTCTGGTGTAGATATTTGCTATGAAGATGTATCTGGAGAAGGAACGGACACGAATACAGACCTGGAGAGTACTGATGATGACTTGGGAGACGACTGGTGGACCGGAATAGAGCTGTTATCACCACTTTCGGGAAATGATATTGCTTCTTAATCAGCCTTATTATAAGATTTGGGAACAACATGCTGATATGTTCACAAGCCCGTAGTGGTGAAAGCAATCAGATCGTAAGTCCAGACTAGATGTGCTCTGAGAGGATCATTCTACAGACGAAGCACACAGGGTTATGGATATCAAGTTTCTATCCTGCTGGAAACCTGGCATTCAGTAGACACTACTGGACACATACAATGAATCTCTCTTCGACTCTCTATGGATCTGGTTGTAATCCTTTGGAAAGTTTTGTGTCTATCACATCACTAACTCTAGAGAGCGTCCCATGAAAATTTATGCTTGTGCGACATTCAATCATCAGGTCCGTCTTTTCAGACCCTCCATGTACGGACATTTCGTGCTGTAGAGACGGATATTTGTCCAGGTTGTACTCATTTTTCAGTGACAAGATTTGCATATGCATATTTTATTTCTGCTGGTTGCAGTTACAAGTTTTCCTCTTTTTTCTGTTAGTTTGAACATTTTAGTGGTTAAGTAGGATAATTTTGCTTCTACTTCTGGCGCGGTAGACATGTTTTCATATTTTGGGAATGAACATGGGCCACTAGTTTAATGCTGTTTCGTGTTGGCTTGTCCCTGCTTTGCATCAGTTTTTTTCCACGAAATAGATGTAAGATGTCAAATTGGCTCGAGTGTATGGAATAGTGCAGCAAATCTACAATGGGTAGTAATGAATTACTAATCTCTTATCGTTTTTCAGGCCGTGCGGCACATGAGACTTAAAGATATATGACCGAGTTGACATTGGGGTAGAGAATTTCACACGTAGAACGAGATTCTTTGCTGTGAATCTTTTTCAAAAAATGAATGAAGATTTGCAGTCCTTTCGACAGACCACAGGGCCGCTGGTAATTCTCTTAACTAAAGTTTGAAATGTAGCTCAAGCCTAGAAAATGCGTAGGTTGAGTTCATTAGGGAGTAGGTATATGTGGAAGATAAACATCTATTCTACCTCTATCATTAATCAATCGCGTATACTTTTGATCATGATGCAGGTTGAGAATGAAAGAGCCAGAAATAATGTGAGCATAGATAAAAATCATACCATCAGCTGTGCTTCAGTAAAAAGACTCAATTGCAATTTGCCTTCGGGTACGCATATTTACTTTAACAGGTACCAAGGAGACGGTGTCAATCAGCTTGGTAGCTGGTTTCGTAAAGAGACACTATCCATTGCCCTGGAAGTCAGCATCAACCGATAGACTATATCAGAAATCGGCGATTGAGATACTAGCTTTGCTGCACATAGTATCTGTTTGAATTACAACGCGCGGTCTGTTTGTCTCAGCTAGAGCTGTCGTGTGAAGTGATCGAGTGTCAGCTTCACGATTCCATATGCGCCTATCAAGATTCAAGTCCATTTATTCACATTCTGCCCTCTTGCAATACAGAATGACATCCGATTAGCGTTTCGACCTGTTTGCCCAGTCTCGGATCCGAACTATGCTAACACTGTGGAACAAAATATAGAGATGCGAGTTGTAGCGACCATCTGACAAGTTCTGCAGCACTTCTAATTGAAGTTGTTCTGCTTGTGATTGTGTCGCAGCAGCGGACAGCCTGCATGTCCCCTGCTTATTTTTGTTCCGCAAATGGTGTGTGACCCAATTGGATTTCGAATAGCCTAATCTTGGGGCCAAATAACCTTGAGACTCGAAATTTTCAAATGGAGAACACACATTTCAAAGATCCACAGGTAGGATATAATTTTCACCAAGGAGTATTATCAATGTTAATAAATACCCCACATGCATCAATGGTTTCAATCGACGTAAGAAAATATAATCACTAACATCGTAATGGTTTGATATTACAGAGTTCTAGAAAATAAACCCCGATGCGGATCAGTAGAAACTCTGATTCGTCCAGTTTCTCAATCTGATAATCGGTATCGAATGAACCATCCAAGGAACTCTGGTTTCTTCTCTCACCCGAATCATTGAACGAAATTGTTACGCCCAAGCCTATCTCAAATGACAGACAAAGGAACGGTTTGCTGTTTAGTTGGACTTGTGAGTACGGTTATCAGTGAAGGCAACGCCCGCACCCACGGTCGTTAAGTGAACAGAGTGCACGAATGCATGAACTGCTGTAGCTGTGTTAGACGTTGTGCTCCGCTGGAGTACGGCGAAGTTTCTTTCTTCGTGGAGATATGGAAAGTGAACTCAACTTGCGATTACCAGTTGCAAGTAGTCACACCCTTCAATTCCTGTGGGACGTACCTACACCGCTAGCACTTCAACACGCATCAAGCGATTCATATTTTGGATCAACCACTTGGAAACGTGCATTGTGCAATGCGTAAAAACTCAGAAATTTAAATTTCTGTATAAAAAGTACATGAATTAGATTATTATGTAACAGAGTGTTCTGAAAACCACTGGGTCCACTTCCATTGAATTTCATGGAAGACATGTCAGAGTTTTATCCTAGAACAATCGATCAGGCTTCTAGCACTTGCCGGTGTACATGGCCAAGAGCTGCCCATCTTCCACCAGATTGTTGGGCAGCTGCTTGTGCGCCTGCACATCTAGCAACCACCACCCGTCGCCGAGAACATCCTCCGCCATGATCACACCCGATGACTCCTCATCAGTCGTCTTTACAGCGGGAAAAGAGAAGAACGCGGGGTTGTGTTGTCCGATCGGAATCAAGCTCTCAGTCTTCAAGTTGTATTCCCAGACGCGGCCCAAGTGTCTCTGATTCCCAACGTCCTCCTGAATGATCATGATATCGCCTTTCTCGTTCATGCCCACGTTGTCCATCATCTTGGGTCCCGAGATGTCAGCTCCGTCGGGGCCGTTGATGAGGACAGTAGCTTGTCCATGGTTGGACGTGGTGAGGGTGGGATCCTCAAAATTCAACTTCCAGATCCGTGAGTGTCGCCCGGGGACGCTGAAGGCGGCGGTCACAGCGAAGTAGAAGATGTGAGGATTCTTGGGATCCCAGGCACCGTCCTCGGGACGGTCGAACTTGGTGTTCTTGGGGTCGGCGGGTGGGTTTGGGTTGTTCACAGGAAGGAAGCGACTCCTCAATGCAGCGCCTGATCCGTCGGCACCAGAGAGATCCTCACCCAGAAGCACGGCCGTGAAGGGCACTGTGTCACCTGCAACCAGGCTACCACCGTTGTTGATTTCATCGCTGATGTTCTCGAGGTAGATCACGTACAGCTTGCCACCGAAGAGTCCAGCCTTCTCCACTGGCGTGCCAGTTGTGCTCTTGTCGCCCACGTAGACGAACACGCGGTTGTGGCCATTGTCGTCGAGCGCCATCACCACTGTTTTATCGGCCGCACCCTCTTCATTCAAAAAATTTGCACAAATGCTTGTTCATGTCAGCTGAATTGTGATTGATGTCATGCGATGGTATCACCAGAGGTTCAAAGCAAAGACACGTACCGATATCTTCCAGCTTTTTCAAGTTGGGATGAGGGACAATATTCTCGAATCCAGCATTGCTGAAATGCGGAAGCTCGAAGGTGTTACCGGCGTAAGGACCCGTGACGATGTGGGCGAAGGCGCGGCCATCGGTGCCATCTTCCTCGCCGTTGAGGAAAATCATGTCCTTCGTACCTTTTCCAGACTCGCGATTATACAATGCGGACTGCTCGGCCAAAGTGGCACTGCAGAAACGTGCCATAGCCACGGGTGTGCTGCCGGCGGCGTTGGGGTCGCGGTACGACTTGGAGGTACGATTCCAAGCCCATACCTTCTTTATCAAATCCTCTCCCTTGAGTACAGCCAGCGTGCTCCTTTCAGTGGTCCACTTGGAAACGAAAGCTCCTGGCGCTCCATGAGATCTCACAGCTCCAACTGTATCACCATTTTCGTGGTTCATGAGCAGGTTGAAGGTGTTCTGGTCTGCATCCTCGTCGACGTAGGCGCCAAGTCCATCGGGAATGCCCACCAACTGGTAGCCATTGGCTGCAGTGTCGCCCACGGAGAGGATCGCCACAAAGGACGCATCGCTGGTATTAGGATAAGGCAGCAAGTATGCATCTTGGGTGCTGCTCGGACCACGCCTGCTGCCGGCTGCGAGATTCCAAAAAAAGGGTCTTAGTTCAATGTCAATCGACACGCAAGAATTACAAACTAGCAGATCGGTCGGTAATCATTGCTGAGGATTTATGAACTAAACAGTGAACCATTTCTAATTCGTTTTACATCGCTCAAATCAGACACAGACACATGACAATTTTATAAGAAAGCTTGGAGGAACTGAACACGGTCAGTACAAACACAGTTGTACTCCCCGTACGGGAAGACACTAGAACTGTGGGCAAGGTCGTTACCGGCGCAAGGAGGTTGCAAGCCGCTTTGATCGAGTCTACGAGCCTCAGCAGGGATCACACTGGAGGCAAGTACAACGCAGAGGAAGAGTACCACGCTGAGACGGTTCATCGTGGCCATTTTGTCGGGTGATATCTATGGGCACGTTCTGCATGCTTTAATCCTCCTTGACTCGGAGAATATGCCGATGGACATTCGACCAGCAGCTCTATCCAGTTAAAATTAGGAGGCCACATGCTTAAAACAATCTGACAACAGACCTCGGATCTGCTTTTTGGTCACTGCACTGAAACTATGCTTGCATCCATGGGGTTGTGCAAAGATCCTGGGATCATTCCTCCCCAAAATCGGGTCTCACTCTGTATGGCACCACCTTTGGGGCCTAAATCATCAACCCCGCGCTCGAAGCCAACACAACAAAAAGAATCACCCTTACACTGACGTGCATGTGAGAGTTGGCGTATCTTCTAAACTCCGGAGCTAATACAGCGTTTGGACGGAGCGAGAACCGAAGCGCACCGCGACCAGTGATTAACTTAATTGGCTGGTGACGCAGCGCAGGGTTTGGCCCTCGTCTAGCGTGGCGACGTCGCGGCGTCAATGTCACACGTCATCTGCCCTTGTCGCCCCCGCCGCCAAGCCTGCGTGCAGGATTTGCGCAGGTCCAGACCCTCACATCGATAGGGTTCTAGAAGGGCATGATGTGCAAAGGAAGCAACACACAGCCCTCTGGAGCATCACTGAAGCATCTTTGGTGCTGACTTTTTCTTCGAGATTGTCGGAGCCAGGATCTCAGGTTTGTCTTCGTTCCGGTTCGTCGTGGAGCCCTTCTGAGTTGTGAGTGTCGGCACTCTCACACACACACACACCCACACATCAATATGGATGCTGCTTTAGAAAAAGTAGAAGCAGAACCCACATCCTGCACATTCCTGTGAAACGGCCAAACTTTGTCTAAAACAGAATGTGATCTCGCCTTCCACATCGTGGGCATCCACTTCTCATGCGGCAACTTCTCATTGTGCATCTGCTTGTCGGTACAGGAGTTGAATTTATATATGTACACACCAGTAATGCCTATTGCTTTGTTTTGGGAGTAACATGTTATAATTAATCAACAAGGTGTAACAAGGAACAATATAAATTGGATGAACGTATGGATGGATGTTTGAAGATATTCATATATATATATATATATATATAGCAAATGTTGTTTTTGTGTTTTTTTTCTAATGCGGGATGTGAATTTATTTACACACTATTGTTTGAAGAAACACTATGTGTATTATTTTATTATTATTATTTTATGTGTATTATTTACAAAACAACATTTTTATTGTATACAATTCTATTTTGGATTTTGTCATTTCTATAAATTTTGAATTAATAAATCAAATAATGTCTCCATTCACATATTAAAGTATCCTTTCACATGTTCTGTATTGATTCTACAAATTAAAATAAGATCGAATCTACAATAATATTTGTTTAATTTTCATTTAATAGCACATGTTTCAATAATTATTTCTTGTAGTTTTAGAATTTATATATTCATTTTAGCTCAAAACTTACTTCTGCATGTTTTAGTTTTATTGATTTTTTTTATTTTTTATTTTCCAAAAAACAAATAAAAATAGTGAAAGATTCTTAAAACACTTGGTTTGATTTTTAGATGAAAAACGTATATGATAATTTAAAGAATTTAAGAATATAATAAATATCAATCTCTCATTTAGGAATGAATCCCTCTCTTAAATAGATAGTGAGGGATTTGAAACTCCATAGAAACTATTTACATTTGAAGCTACTCTTAATTGGGCTATAACATTCTATTAGCTCTAAAGTTAGAAGTTATTTTTTATTTTTAGTATAAATAATACTACAAATAAAAAATAAACACACTTCTTTTCATAAATAAAAAGATTACTTCTAACTTTAGAGCTAATAGAAGTTATTGTTTATAATTTGCCATAGTTTTTTATGTTTCATCATTGCAAAAAAAAACTGTGGCAAATTTTGTATGAAAAGAAGTGTATTTAAAATGGAAAGTGTCGAGGGTGAGGAAAAATTACCAATGGATATTAAAGATGTGATTTGTTTGGAGTTGTCATAATCAAAGATTTGATTGATAGATGAATATTTAGGTGCATGAATAGATGTAATTTTTTTTGAATAAATACATAGAGATAAATACTATTTTTAATATATAATTTTTTTGACAGTAAAATATTGTAAGTAGGAAAGAACTTGATAGTCTGACGTCAGAGACAAACATCACATTAGTATAAAAATCAAATGGGTTTTTATTGTTTAAACATAAAGTACATATTTTGTTGTTCAATAAAAAATTGAGTACAATATATGAGCGGAATATGTGGCTCTAACTTTAGCTAGGTCATATATATATATATATATATATCTCTCTTTGAAGGTAGGATATTGTTTCATGTTTTATTCTTTTGAAATTTGGCAATTTAAACCTACTTTCTATAACACAAGTTTTTTAAAAAAATTTAGATGATTTATTATATTTTAATTTTTTTTAACATGTAGTATCTTTTTTCAAAAGAACTCTTTTAAAACCTATTGGTCTAAACTATATCTTTATTTAATTTTTATGTCTACATTTATTGTCTAAAAATAAACAAATAAAAAAATAAAAATTCTTATATTTTGTAAAAATAGATGCTATTATTAGAAGCCATAATACATTTATAACTTCAATGTAACTCAAGTTTTTGCTAAGTTTAACCTAATAGAAGTTTATATCACATAATGTAGATTTTGTTTATTAAGACAATATATATATATATATATATATATATATTTATATTTCAGTTCAAAATCTAATATTTTAAATATTTATTTATTTATTTATTTTATTTAATAGTGCTAAAGCAAAAATCCACAAAAAATTAAATCACATGTTGAAGTTAAGAGAAAATATTCTATTCTATTTAATGATTTGGATAAGAATAGGATAGTTTTTGAAAGAGTTACTTCCTATTTTTGTCATTAAATAATTTGAAGAGATAATCATCACTCTACAAACTGTCTTTAGAATCAAATTCTAATTTATCTACAAGTCCAAAAGCAAATGGAAGAGTTTTGTTAAATTTAATAGAAGAATTGTTCTTTTATTATCTTGTAAGATAATATGTAAGCACATTCTACTTAATTCAAGTCCAATGGTCTTTAACAAATGTTAAATTAGTTTAATATTAAGACTTAATTTAAAAATAAGTATATATATATATATATATATATATATATAATTTTAAAATATTTTACTAATTATTAAAAATTAATCACCATCTATGCTTCTTGCTTTGATTTAAGAAAACCCAACAATTAAAGATCAGCCAATTGATATTATTATGTATACGGTGTATTTTAATTGTTTATTTGAACTTCTTCACGATCTTGTAGTAATGTTTGAATGTAATGTGGAAGGACGTGGAGTAAAATAAATTCCAAATTTAGCTTAATAGAAATAACATTTTAAATTTGGTGTTGGTTGATTTCTATTATAATCAGTAATTAAATTCTTAATACTAAAGATTTATGACTTAGTGCATGCCAAATTTAAATAAAAAAAATAGTGGTTGCTTATGGAATAATGGTATTTATTAAATTAAAATATAGTTTTGTTTCAAAGAAGAAAATTAAATATGCAATAATTTTTTTGAGTAATATATATTTAAGATCTTTTGTTATGACTTTCTTAGCCACATATATTCTTTTCTATATCTTTGAATTTACAAAGTATTCTAAGAAATATTAATCATCTAGTGGATATTGAAAGTCTATCTGTTAATATCATTAATAATTTTACAGGTTATAATTTGTTTTATAATTTTTAGTAGGAAGCAGTTTATGAGAAAGATAATTCTTAGCATCCACCTTACTGTCAAAGAATTTCAAAGCTAATTTAAGATTGAGTAAATTGAGGCCCCTATTATAGATTCACCATCAATCTTCTATGAAACTTTAGCTATAGTATTGGTCTCATTTTTTCCCTATAGAAAAGTTTTGGCCAATTTATTTATAAAATTTTATTGCATGAAAATTTTCTTTCTATTTTATTAAAAAAAATACATAATAGACTTCATAAGACATAATTGAAAATTAAAATTCTACCAAAAAATTGATTATAAAATAATATCTCTGTTTTAATTCTTTTTGAGATATAAAATCGAATAAATTAGATTAAAATATTAATTAATTTTATAAAATTAGAATAAATTAAAATAATAAATATAAGAAGTAAATATTAAAAAACTATTCTTTTAAATTTAATGTACAATTTTTTTTATAGTTTCTTTTAAATAAGAAACTACTTAATATTATTAGTTTTTTATTTAAATTTTTTTTTAATATTTTGTATTCTAAAAAAATTATTATTTGAATATAAGATTTAAATTAAAATAAATCTCATTATATTCCAATTAAATTATATAAAATTATACTATTCTATTAATTGGAAATTTATATTACAAACTTTAGAGATTTTTTTTGATGTATCTCAATTTACTTTTATATATTTCTTTTGATTTAATATATTAAATTACATGTACATATTGATAGATACATGTTTTAAAAATTTCTCATCCAACTAAAAATTTGGCAAGGATGGTTAGTAATTTTACAATTTATTTTATAGGTAATATATTTAAACTTAATATCACAATTCAATTAATTCAAAAAAATATTATACGACTTATGTAATTTTTGAAATAAAATAATAAATCTTTAAATAATTCTTTGATAAATTTATGAATTAACAAAATAATTTTTTATCAAAGAATCTTAAAGGAATTGTAGATAGAAGATATTGATAATGTATAAGTAGATTCCAAAATAATTCAATGCTAACTCCATTATACCAAAATGTTTTTTATTTAGCTAATTCTTTAATTTATTTGTATAATTTTGATAATAAAATATAAAACATAAAATTCCTAAAGATATATTTTCTTAAACTTTTTGAAATCAAAGGTGAGTAATAACATCAATGTGAATTTGAAAGAACATATTTCATTTATGTAAACTACAAAAATTCTGTTATCTTTTTTGGATCAAATTTCTTTCTTTTTTCCTTAAATTTTTTATACTTATTTTTATGATGTAAATTAGTATTTATTCCTTATTTTCTCTCAAAATCCAAAAACTTTTGTAAGAATTTTTTTTAATATCAATTTATTTAATCTTAATTCTTATTTATTAAAATCTAGCTTTATAAATTTCATAATTAAAAAAGAATAAAATTTTATATTTAGAAAATTATATGAGTTTTATAGCAAATCTATAAAAAAAAAATTAAATTTTTGTTTATATACTTGTGTTGAAATTTCGTCATAAATTTGAGCTCAATTGATTGGTTAAATTTAAAATCTATAGAATTAAGGTAGATTAGAATATTA